CCGATCGCGTCAAAAGCCCAACGTCAAGCGCTTATCCATCTGCGCCACTGGAGCTGATGATTTACAGCCACTTTTAAGGTAAGGACAACTCATACAATACTTTTAAACTGAGGTGCGTTTGTATTTTGTTATTTTGTTTTCAGAATTGTGATTTGTTTTGCACTTCTCTGCCACCGTAGTTAAGCATTATACAACGCTTTCAAAAAGTGAGACCAGTAGTTAATGCAAATTTTATATTCTTCTAAATACATTTTGGTGTTAAATACGTGATGTATAATAAATGGTATTATCAGCATAACAATTATGAACAAATTTCAGAAGTGGAGAACGTGAAGTGAAATGCAAAACCCGATGATCTTTTTATCCAGAATGATTTGAGAATGTTCCAAAGAGCACCTTGTGATTCAGTTTACACAGAAACTATATGCATGATCAATATCACATTTACTGTAGCGGCCAAGAAGTAGTCCGAAACATTTTCTCATTCAGCTTTGTTTCAAATTTTTCAAAAATCCTAAAACTTTTTTTTTGTCCATGTTTAAATTAGATTTTCAAACACTGATTTTCAAATGTGGTCTCAACATTTTGAAAAAGAGTTATTTTACCACCACTGAGAAACTATTACAGTTTTAACTATTATTATTAATATTATTTTACATTTTATGTTTTCATTTTAAATGTAGCTAGTTTTAGCAATTATTTTTGTGAGTTTAAATGTCTATATATTTTATTTAGTTATTTTAGTACATCATTAAATTAAATTAAATTAAAATGAGAAATGTTGCCTTGACACCTAGTTGAAATAAAATAATTTTACATTTTGTAATATTTTATGCCAGTTAGTTTTTATTTTATTTCAAGTAACACTTTTTTTTAAAGTTCTTCTGTGTGTGTGTGTGTGTGTGTGTGTGTGTGTGTGTCTGATAGAAATGACATGCCATAAAATGCATTTTCTCCAGGAAACATTTCTCTTTGCAAAGCCCCCCCTTTGAAATGTGTGTGTGTGGGTGTGTGTGTGTGTGTGTGTGTGTATGTGTGTGTATGATAGAAATGACATGCCATAAAATGCATTTTCTCTTTGCAAAGCCCCCCTTTGAAATCATCAGCTTCATTGCTATAACATTTGTGGGCTATTTTGAAATGATTTGAAGGTCTTATGTAGATAATATATATTGTGTTATGTCTTCTGCTCAGGCTGGAGTCTCCTACACATTCGCTATTCATGGAGGAAACTATAACAAGATGTGTCCATGATATGTGAAAATGTAACACTAAAAAAAAAAACTTTTGTAAAGATTTGATATCTTGAAAAAATAACATACATATGGGACAAAAATAGCACCATTGTGACTTAGATCCTTTCTGATCTTTCATGTTTCGCCACACCACATGCTAAACTGCTGTGACTGACACAAACATTTTTTTCAGGCTCCCAAAAAAAGCTACACACACACAAGTGACCCAGACCAAATACAGAGTCAACGTCACGGTCATTGTGCCTCTATATAAAGTGATACGTTACAACACAATGGTTCAAGCTCACATCATTGTACCACCTAAAGGTAAGATGGTTTGTGTTTGTAAATATCAAATCTTTGCGATACAGCTGCACAAATAATTTAGATTAAATTGTTAATGAGGACTGAATAATAGAATAGGATTAATTTTTATTAATGATGCTTATTTTTCATTGCAAGGACTTGGGACTTTTCTTGGATTTTGTCTGGTAAGGCATGCTTTTATAAAGGTCCACACGTTTTTATCCAATATTTTCATTTTGTAGCTTGTTAACTGACAGATCAATTGATGATTAGAAATATTAGGTATAGCTCATGATGATAATTATTACCTTTATTTGTATGCGCTAATGTAGATTAAATATTTATATAAGATTACATATATTTTTTATTCTAAACAAGTTTTGTCTTGTCTTCTTTGCATCAGTCTGACTGAAAGATGGGTGACGCCCTCATGGCAGAGTTTGGACCTGCTGCTCCGTTCTTACGGAAGTCAGACAAGGAGCGTCTGGAGGCCCAGACTCGGCTCTTCGACATGAAGAAGGAATGCTTTGTGCCCGACCCTGAGGTCGAGTACGTCAAAGCCTCCATCACCAGTAGAGACGGTGACAAAGTCACTGTTAACACTGAATTTGGGAAGGTATGGTTTAATCTCTGTATTGTTTGTAGACAGTAATGGTGTCAATGTAGAGTACCAACAGAAATTCTTTAGATTTGAGGTGTGAAACATCTTTTGTATGATTTCACATAAAACAATGTCATATGTCAATGGTATACCAAATGTTTTACACAATTATTAATAAAATTAAAATTTCACAGGGTACTCTGGAGGATCAAATCATCCAGTGTAATCCTGCTCTGGAGGCTTTTGGTAATGCCAAGACCATCAGAAATGACAACTCTTCCAGATTCGTAAGTGGGGTTCAAATTGGTGTACATATTTTATATTTGCTTCACAGTCTGTTGTATGAGCATGTTATATATTGTAGTCTTGCTATATTTACAGGGTAAATTTATCCGTATCCATTTTGGAGTCAGTGGAAAGTTAGCTTCTGCTGACATTGAGACGTGTAAGTACTTTACTGCCCAACATCATTCCAACAATCACATATTAATGAAATGTATCTGTTTTGTTATTCATCTATGCATCCATTCATTTAGATCTGCTGGAGAAGTCTCGTGTCACTTATCAACTCAAGGCTGAGAGAGACTACCACATCTTCTACCAGATCCTGTCTCAGAAGAAACCAGAACTGCTGGGTAAAATTACCCGTCATATTCATTAACATTTAATGTTTTTAGTCTTTTCTGATTTATGTTCCCATTTCTCCTTAGAGATGCTGCTCATCACCAACAATCCCTATGACTATTCCTTCATCTCCCAGGGAGAGACACAAGTGGCTTCTATTGATGACCGTGACGAGCTGATGGCCACTGATGTGGGTGTTTGTTAACACATAGACAGTTCACAAAACAAGATACCATGTTATAAAATATTAGAAGAAATAGACAATCACATATTAATGAAATGTATCTGTTTTGTTATTCATCTATGCATCCATTCATTTAGATCTGCTGGAGAAGTCTCGTGTCACTTATCAACTCAAGGCTGAGAGAGACTACCACATCTTCTACCAGATCCTGTCTCAGAAGAAACCAGAACTGCTGGGTAAAATTACCCGTCATATTCATTAACATTTAATGTTTTTAGTCTTTTCTGATTTATGTTCCCATTTCTCCTTAGAGATGCTGCTCATCACCAACAATCCCTATGACTATTCCTTCATCTCCCAGGGAGAGACACAAGTGGCATCTATTGATGACCGTGACGAGCTGATGGCCACTGATGTGGGTGTTTGTTAACACATAGACAGTTCACAATACAAGATACCATGTTATAAAATATTAGAAGAAATAGTCCACCCAAAATTTTAAATTCTGTCATGAAGACTTTTGACACTATGACTGCATTTCTGCTGTGAAACACAAAATGATAATTTTGTGTAAGAGCATGAACATGTTGGAAAAACATCTTCTTTTGTGCTTCACAGAAGTCTGTCTGTCATGCAGGTTTAGAATGACTTGATGACTAAATGATTCTCAATTTTGGCCATCTATTCCTTTAAAGAGTTTAAAGGAAGACTTTTAATGAACTTGTCAAAAAGAAGAATATTAAGCATTTTGACACGCTCTGTACATTTGCTGTAGGAAGCGTTTGATGTGCTGGGCTTCACCCAAGAGGAGAAGAACAGCATCTATAAGCTGACTGGTGCCATCATGCACTACGGCAACATGAAGTTCAAGCAGAAGCAACGAGAGGAACAGGCAGAGGCTGATGGGACTGAGGGTCAGAATAAATTGCAATCTCAACTTTATAAATGGAAAAAATGTCTAAGATATAGAGATTCATAGCTCTGTGTTCTTTTTAACATGTAGATGCTGACAAAGTCGCATATCTAATGGGACTAAACTCAGCTGACGTGATCAAGGGTTTGTGCCACCCAAGAGTCAAAGTTGGAAATGAGTGGGTCACCAAGGGACAGAATGTCCAGCAGGTAAAAAATGAGAAGAATATTCGGTAACACTTTAAAATAAGGTTCATTGGTTACTTTACTACTTTTGTTAACATGAACTCAGAATGCAGAAACAATACTTCTACAGCATTTATTTATCTCAGTTAATTTCAACATTTACTAATGCATTATTAAAATCTAAAGTTGTGCATGTTAACATTAGATAATGCACAGTGAATTAACATGAACCAACAATGAACAACTGTATTTTCATTACCATCAGAATCTGCAGAAAGGGATTCCCCAACAGGATCCTGTATGGAGATTTCAAACAACGGTAAGTATGAAACTAAATGGCTTTTATGTCCTACAAAATAATTTTATGTGAGATTTCACCAACTCTGTTTGCAGCATTTGCTAGAAATAAACAAATACATATGTTTAAAAATAATAATAATAATGCACTAAAAGCATAAAATGATTGTTAATGTGTTTCTTTTTTGTAGGTACCGGATCCTAAATCCAGCTGCTATCCCTGAGGGACAGTTCATTGATAATAAGAAGGGTGCGGAAAAGCTTCTGGGTTCTCTGGACATTGACCACAGCCAGTACAAGTTAGGACATACTAAGGTATTTTTATATTAACAATATCTTTTTACAAAGGCACTGTTCTATTTTCATTCTTTTTGACACAAAATTCTTTGCTATGCAGGTGTTTTTTAAGGCTGGTCTTCTGGGTACTCTTGAAGAGATGAGAGACGACCGTCTTGCACTTATTATTACTGGAATTCAGTCCAGATCTCGTGGTTTTCTATCAAGAATGGAGTTCCAGAAAATTGTGGAGAGAAGGTTAGTTTTCATCCATTTAGATTTTAAACTTTTTTCTAACTTGCAATTTATAATATAAGACTGAACATTCTTATTAAATATCTACAGAGATTCTTTGTTGGTGATTCAGTGGAACGTACGTGCCTTCATGGGTGTCAAGAATTGGCCCTGGATGAAGCTCTACTTCAAGATCAAACCTCTGCTGAAATCTGCGGAGACTGAGAAAGAGATGGCCAACATGAAGGAAGAATTTCTGAAGTTGAAGGAGGCTTATGCCAAATCTGAAGCTCGCAGAAAGGAGCTTGAGGAAAAGATGGTTTCCCTTCTCCAAGAGAAGAATGACCTTCAGCTTGCAATGCAGTCTGTAAGTAACACGGGGGACTACAATTCTGCACTCTTTACTCTAATCCTCTGACATGTTTCACACAATACAAGACCCACTAGAGCAGATGCTAATGGCTAGTATGCTTGATACAGTTGCGTTCATACAGGATATCGTTTTTTAAAGGGTCATGAAACCCCAGAATATTTTTTATGAGATTTTAGCGGAGGTGTTTGTGTTGCACATCATAGAAGACAATGTTAGCATCTGATAATTTTACCTGTTGGAGAAAACTGGTTAATTTTAAGCTTTTTTGCGCTATTTTCATCTTCTGGGTTTAAAATCTACATCGTGTTAGTACATCGATGATGAGTCGGTGTCTATTAAATTTTCCATGAGACTGTGTGTTCTTATCCTATGAGAAGACGCTTCGCTTAAATATTCACAACAACATGTGCCGGTTTGCTATGACAGACGCTTCAGACAGTGAGATGACATTAACTGAGAGAAACGTTCATGGATCGGAGTGTTTGTTTTTGCTTTGTAATAAGAGTTCAGCACAAACGCGATTCATTCACTGAGTGAGTGTAAACGTTTTTACAGCTCTGTAACACAACCCGTCAAAAGGCAAGGGTGACCCATACTCGCAATTTGTGCTCTGCATTTAACCCATCCAAGTGCACACACACAGTAGTGGACACATATACACCGTGAATACACACCCGGAGCAGTGGGCAGCCATATTGTGCGGCGCACAGGGAGCAGTTGGGGGTTCAAGGGTTCAAGGGTATTGAGGGTGGAAGAGAGTGCTGTACATTCACTCCCCCACCGACAATTCCTGCTGGACCTGAGACTCGAACTCACAACCTTCGGGTTACAAGTCTGACTCTCTAACCATTAGGCCAGGACTGCCCCAGATGGTTGGTAATTTTTCAATTCCTCAAAAAGTGGCCCGATTCTTGAATGGAGAGGTTTATTCACCAGTGGGTAAGGGGGCTTGGTCGATGTGAAATCATCCATGGGTGACGTCCCCTACCCTTGCGGAAATAAGCCTGTCACCACAGCATATATATATATATTATTTATGAAGAGTTCATTTGCAAAAACAGATAACTCTCTGAGCACTGATAATTCTCAGAAACCATGTTTTTTTCATTGTGCATTCCAATTAATCTCAATCAAACTTTAGTTGGGTTATTTTGAATAGGTTAAAAAATAACTAAAAATTACAGCTAACTAACACAATAAAAGCATGATTACATAATAAAAAACATGATTTTTGAAAATGTCAAAAAAATGAGTTTTTGCAAATAAACTATTCATATATATATATATTACAAGAGGTTTGATATTTGCACATATTCAGATTTGAATTATCAAATGTATAATTAAATTTTTTGTAATGTTGCAAAGACATTAAAATTAATGCAAAGAATTTTCTGTATCTGTCAACAGGAGCAAGATAATCTTTGCGATGCTGAGGAGAGATGTGAGGGTCTGATCAAGAACAAGATCCAGTTTGAAGCCAAAGTCAAAGAAATGACTGAGAGACTGGAGGATGAAGAAGAAATGAATGCTGAGCTGACTGCCAAGAAACGAAAGCTGGAGGATGAATGTTCTGAACTCAAGAAGGACATTGATGATCTTGAACTCACTCTGGCCAAAGTGGAGAAAGAGAAACATGCCACTGAAAACAAGGTTAGCTGTTAAACCTCCTGTAGTTTTTCAGTATTACACATTCTTTGAGTGTTTTCTGATCTAATGCCCTTTGCTTAGGTTAAAAATCTCACAGAGGAAATGTCAGCACTTGATGAAATCATTGCTAAGTTGACCAAGGAGAAGAAAGCTCTGCAGGAGGCCCATCAGCAAACACTAGATGACCTCCAGAGTGAGGAAGACAAAGTCAACACTCTCACCAAAGCCAAAGCCAAGCTGGAGCAACAAGTGGATGATGTGAGAGCCAGAAAACATAACACTGGAATTAAATAAATTGCATATTTATTTGTAATTATAATTATTTATTATTATTTTGGATTAAATTTAGCTTGAAGGTTCCCTGGAACAAGAAAAGAAAATTCGCATGGATCTTGAGAGAGCTAAAAGAAAGCTTGAGGGTGACTTGAAGTTGACTCAAGAGAATTTGATGGACTTAGAAAATGATAAGCAGCAGATGGATGAGCGGCTAAAGAAGTAAGATATATTATATATAATAAAATCTTTAGAATCCAATTTTAATATTAAAAGACGTTTTAATCCATTTTGTATCATCTTGTTTATTTGGCAGAAAAGACTTTGAGATCAGCCAGCTCAACAGCAAGATTGAAGATGAGCAGGTTATGGCAGCCCAACTCCAGAAGAAACTGAAGGAGCTGCAGGTAAAATTCATCATTCTTAAAAGGTTATATTGTACGACAGTTAGGAATGCTAGCATTAACTTTGGTTTCTTCACATCACCAGGCCAGAATTGAAGAGCTTGAGGAAGAGCTGGAGGCTGAGAGAGCTGCTCGTGCCAAAGTTGAGAAACAGAGAGCTGATCTGTCCAGAGAACTGGAGGAGATCAGCGAGAGGCTGGAGGAGGCTGGTGGAGCCACTGCTGCTCAGATCGAGATGAACAAGAAACGTGAAGCAGAGTTACAGAAACTGCGCAGAGACCTTGAAGAGGCTACTCTGCAACATGAGGCCACCGCTGCTACACTGAGGAAGAAACATGCCGACAGTGTAGCTGATCTGGGAGAGCAGATTGACAACCTTCAGAGAGTGAAGCAGAAGCTGGAGAAAGAGAAGAGTGAACTCAGACTGGAACTGGATGACGTGGTCTCCAACATGGAGCAGCTTGTAAAGGCAAAGGTGAGTAAGAGAAATTATGGGTCTAACACATAACTTATGTGTTGTCAGTAAAAGAAAGCAATCAAATATCATATATTTAATCCTCAAGGCAAACCTGGAGAAAATGTGCAGAACTCTGGAAGACCAGATGAGTGAGTACAGAACCAAGGCTGAGGAAGGCCAGCGCACAATCAATGACTTCACCATGCAAAAAGCCAAGCTGCAAACTGAGAATGGTAAAAGCACAAAATATTGTTATGTTACCTACTGTGCCATAATGATCATTAATTTAAAAAAAAAAAATTTGATATTGGATTTCAGGTGAACTGTCCAGACAGCTAGAGGAGAAAGACTCCCTGGTGTCTCAGTTGACCAGAGGCAAGCAGTCCTACACTCAGCAGATTGAAGACCTCAAGAGACAACTAGAGGAAGAAATCAAGGTTTTCAAAATCTCATTCTCAGCTCAATTTTTTTTGCCAAAGATTTAAGCAATTAGATAAAAATTCACTGGAACCAAATATTTGTTTGTCTTTAGGCTAAGAATGCCCTGGCTCATGCAGTTCAGTCTGCTCGTCATGATGCTGATCTGCTGAGGGAACAGTATGAGGAGGAACAAGAAGCCAAAGCTGAGCTGCAGCGCAGTATGTCCAAGGCAAACTCTGAGGTGGCTCAGTGGAGAACCAAGTATGAAACTGATGCCATCCAGAGGACTGAGGAGCTAGAGGAAGCCAAGTAAGAAACAAATATTTAAAACTTGAAAGAGTTTTGGCCTTTAATAATGAGATAAAATATCTTTTGACTTTTCCGCTGGGGTTCGCTGCCTATTAAACGTTAAAATTCAGTAATGAGTGATGCTTCAGATGTTCAATATTTTTGGTATTTTGATGATTTATAATAGGAAGAAACTGGCTCAGCGTCTGCAAGATGCAGAAGAAGCTGTGGAAGCAGTCAATGCTAAATGCTCCTCACTAGAGAAGACCAAGCACAGGCTGCAGAATGAGATTGAAGATCTCATGGTAGATGTGGAGAGATCCAATGCTGCTGCTGCAGCTCTGGACAAGAAGCAAAGAAACTTTGACAAAGTAAGGGAAAGTGAAAGTACCTGGAAAAGCACAGTCGCCATATAATTGCAAAATGAAATAGCATGTAAAATAACAATAATATTCAGAAAACTGTCAATGTTAAATTTATATTAATTTAAGTTTCTAACTATGGAGAGGGTCCAGTACTATTCTTTAATGGAAAAACACTTGATTAAAATGGTTCTGCTCTTATTAACATTGGTAACTTTAACCAGGTTCTGGCTGAGTGGAAGCAGAAGTATGAGGAGTCCCAAACTGAACTGGAAAGTTCTCAAAAAGAAGCTAGATCTCTGAGCACTGAACTCTTTAAATTGAAAAACTCATATGAGGAGTCAATGGACCACCTTGAGAGCATGAAGAGGGAGAACAAGAATCTCCAAGGTAAGGATGGTTTTACAACTCCAAACCATTAGTTTAATTCCTTGTATTTGTGAGGTTATATGTTATTTTGGTGACACTTTAGTATAGGAACCAATTCTCACTATTAACTAGTTGCTTATTAGAATGCCTATTATTAACGTATTGGCTGTTTATTAGTACTTATAAAGCGCATATTCCGCATGACCATATTCTACATCCCTAATCCTACCCAATGCCAAAACTTAAACTTAACTACCTTACTAACTAATAATAAGCAGCAAATTAGAAGTGTACTGAGGCAAAATTCATAGTTAATGGTTTGCAATAGCAAAAATTTGATTATTGGACCATTATTTCTATTGCACAGAGGAAATCTCTGACCTCACTGAGCAACTTGGTGAGAGTGGGAAGAATATTCATGAGCTGGAGAAAATTCGGAAACAACTGGAGCAGGAGAAACAAGAGATACAAACTGCTCTGGAGGAGGCTGAGGTAAAACAAAAGCAACCCCCCAATTCATATTCAGCTGACTTGTTTAAAGCAATCGGTTATTCCAGATTATTTTAAGGGAGGTGACCTCCTACCCCAAAACAAAGGGTTACACAAAAATGTGATCTCAGTAATAACACCCCTTTTTCTCTTCATAGGGTTCCCTTGAACACGAGGAAAGCAAGATCCTTAGAGCTCAGCTGGAGTTCAATCAGGTCAAAGCTGATATTGAACGTAAGCTGGCTGAGAAAGATGAAGAGATGGAGCAGGCCAAGAGGAACCAGCAGAGAGTGGTTGATACCCTGCAGAGCTCACTGGAATCAGAGACTCGCAGCAGGAATGAAGCTCTCAGACTGAAGAAGAAGATGGAGGGAGACCTCAATGAGATGGAGATTCAGCTCAGCCAGGCTAACAGACAGGCTTCAGAAGCCCAGAAGCAACTCAAGGGTCTTCATGGACATCTCAAGGTATGATGAATCTTCAGTTCAGATTTGATGACGCTTACGTGAAATACCACTTTGTTCTGCAGTCTTTTCATTTGTAAATCTTGTACTTCACAGGATTCCCAAATTCAGCTGGATGACGCTCTGCGCAGTAATGATGATCTCAAAGAGAACATCGCCATTGTGGAGAGACGCAACAATCTGCTGCAGGCTGAACTGGACGAGCTGAGATCCCTGGTGGAACAGACTGAGAGAGGAAGGAAACTGGCTGAGCAGGAGCTGCTGGACATCAGCGAGAGAGTCCAGCTCCTGCATTCTCAGGTATGACAGCTCTGTACTAGACAAACACAAGTAACAACCCTTACAATATCATCTAGAAACCGTATGAATGTCAATATTGTCTATGTTTAGAACACCAGTCTGCTGAATCAGAAGAAGAAGCTGGAGGGAGATAATTCTCAGCTTCAGACTGAGGTTGAGGAGGCAGTGCAGGAGTGCAGGAATGCTGAGGAAAAAGCCAAGAAGGCTATCACTGATGCTGCCATGATGGCAGAGGAGCTGAAGAAGGAGCAGGACACCAGCGCTCATCTGGAGCGCATGAAGAAGAACATGGAGCAAACCATCAAGGACCTGCAGCACCGTCTGGATGAAGCTGAGCAGATCGCCATGAAGGGAGGCAAGAAGCAGGTCCAGAAACTGGAAGCCAGGGTAAGCTGCTGATGTTTTTAGAAACAAGTCTATTGTGTTTTCTGTAAAATGTGCATTATGTTTGATTAGCTAAAATTCTTACACATCTGTTAGGTGAGAGAGCTGGAAAGTGAGGTGGAGATAGAACAGAGAAAGGCCAGTGACTCTGTCAAGGGGATTCGTAAATATGAAAGACGCATCAAAGAACTCACCTACCAGGTAGGAAAAATATTGCCTACAAGCAGTTTGTGCCTTGGCTGATTTGATTGTTATTTACTAAATACATAAAATGTATTCAATTTATTTAATGCAATTTATAAAACACATATATATATTGCATGTGCTTAAAATATTTTTTTGGTTTGCATAGACTGAGGAAGACCGAAAGAATCTGGCTCGCCTGCAGGATCTGGTGGACAAACTCCAGCTGAAGGTCAAGTCCTACAAGAGAGTTGCCGAGGAGGCTGTACGTATACCTTTTCCATCATATGATCATATGCAATTATTGTATATGGCTAATTCTGATTTTCACAAATACCTTTACGTATATTCTATAGGAAGAACAAGCCAATTCTAGTCTGGGCAAGTTCCGTAAGATTCAGCATGAGCTGGATGAAGCAGAAGAGAGGGCTGATATTGCTGAATCTCAGGTCAACAAGCTGAGAGCCAAGAGCCGTGATACAGGATCCAAGGTAAGAGCAGGCAAAAATAAGCACATCGTTAAATTGACTGATATACTCTAAATCTGCACACTTTAGTGACTTGAGGATATAAAAATCAATTTATATAGTTGATTTGATGTAGCATTTGATGAAACGCATTTGGCTATGTAGCTGCTGTGGCCATTCAAAAACAACAAAAAAACAAAACAAAAAAAACATCCATGTCGATTAGTTATGTGTTGAGTTCATACCATTTTGAACTGAATTAGGTTAACATTATTTTCTTTAACATTCTTTTTGTTCCCAACAGAAGGGGGCTGATGAGGAGTGAAAATATTAACTGGATCTCTGCAAACATGGATTGCTATAATGATCTCTTCTGTAGTTTAGTAGAATAAAGCATTCATGCAAATGAATACTTCATCCCCTTTTGTCTTTTTTTAACCATGTAGACATTGCAATATCCCAACATGATCCTGTACACAGCAGTAAACCAGCTGCCTGAATGTACTGCATGTGCCACAGATTAGCCTAGTCTACTCTCAACTCTAATTCAAACTAAATAGGAACATTTCTTCAATTGTCCTTTGAAGTAGAGACAACTATACAAAGGGACGGGGTATTTTACACCTGCTTTACCAAACTACTGTAAACCACACAATGCAGATTAAGTTAGAAACCACTGAACATTACACTGTGTATATGCTAACATAGCTCAACCTCAGGGATAGGGTTGGGTATCGTTGGAATTTTATCGATTCCGATTCTGCTTATTGATTCCTAGTTTCGATTCCAAAAAGACAAAAAAATCCAATATAAAAAATTAAGTCAAACATTTATTCTGTGTCTTTTTACAAAGCATTCCGTTGCAGCTGAATAACATGAGCAAATATCAGCAGCCTACAGAACACTGCAAGAGGAATTCTGACTATGGTTTTAACAAAAACACCACAGCAAAAACAGCTAGATTAATATAAATTTCAAATATTAAAGTGTTAAAGACAAGTAAACAGTCAGTAATAAAATAGGAACAAACTATTCAAATAGCACTAGCATAAATAATGCTAAATAAAATAAATAATTCATAAATAAAATATAGATTAATTCAAGTTATTAAATATATTTAGTCAAGATCAGTGAATGATTTTCTTTTGTTCTTTGATTAACATTAATGACAGGCAGCGTGTTTATTAGGCTGCTGTCTCTTTAACACCGAAAGCATGCATATCTAAAAATACCGTACACGTGTGTTTTCTTTCTCATCTGTTTACATTCACTTAAGACAAAAACGGCTGTGTTTATGATAATATCCTGACATAGTTTTCTGCATACTGGTCGACAAATATGTAAGAAATCAGTTCTGGTCCAGAACAACCTTTTCTACAGTGGAGTGAAGTTCTTTCCACGGGTTCTAAAATGGAACCGGTTTTCGATACCCAACCCTACTCAGGGAACAAAAGAATATTAATGCATTACCATTTAACAGGATCTATTCAAATGCCTCCATCTACGCCATTAAATAAGATTCATAAATTTTTGACAGGACAGCAAAATGCAGTGAAAATTCAAGTACCATACAGCTTAGATAAGACTGTTATGGTGTCGATCTAGGATATTATTATTCTGTCTTACTGTCTACGGTGCATATGAGTTATTGTTGCGAATATGAATTGGCGATACCCAACCCTACTCAGGGAACAAAAGAATATTAATGCATTACCATTTAACAGGATCTATTCAAATGCCACCATCTACGCCATTAAATAAGATTCATAAATTTTTGACAGGACAGCAAAATGCAGTGAAAATTCAAGTACCATACAGCTTAGATAAGACTGTTATGGTGTCGATCTAGGATATTATTATTCTGTCTTACTGTTGACGGTGCATATGAGTTATTGTTGCGAATATGAATTGGTCAATATACAGTAGGGTATAGAAAAGAATCACCCCCCCCCCCTCTTTAAAATAATAACATTTTGTTGCTTTGCAGCCTGAAATGAAAGCTGACACGGTTTTTGTTTTATTCAGCTGTTGGCAATATATTCTAAACCTAAACACAAACTCCAACATGCTGTAAACATGTGAGCTGTAATGGTCAGTCACCACCACCTGAGGCCACCGCCACCCTTGAATCTCTCATTAAACATGCCTCCTTGGTGTCTATGCAGGGCAGGGAGGGGCAAGTTGTCACATCTTTCAATATCAAAATGTACATTTGTTAAAGGCTTCAAAAAATCTCTCTCTCTATATCAATTATGTTGGCAATATATTCTAAACCTAAACACAAACTCCAACATGCTGTAGACATGTGAGCTGTAATGGTCAGTCACCACCACCTGAGGCCACCGCCACCCTTGAATCTCTCATTGAACATGCCTCCTTGGTGTCTATGCAGGGCAGGGAGGGGCAAGTTGTCACATCTTTCAATATCAAAATGTACATTTGTTAAAGGCTTCAAAAAATCTCTCTCTCTCTCTCTCTATATAGATAGATAGATAGATAGATAGATAGATCGATAAAAAATGAGGTTGTTACAATTTTACAGATGCTACTTAATTTTATCCTGATATTTTTTTTGGCCATATCGCCCAGCCCTACCTGTATTCTTTGCTTCCATCACGCAGCTGGCTTGAGCAAGGGATAATGAAGAAATGACAAGCAACTCAATGGGATGGCCAGTTGGACACTTGTCGAAGTAAATCAAACAAACAGACCCCCCCAGTGTCCATTAATAGCATGGTCATGATGCACAAAGGGTCGAGTCATTGACCTTTTGGTGAGCTGAGACGTCAAAGGGCCCAAACAGCTGAGAATGAACCGCCTCCGTCTCAGGGAAGAGTGTGGATCAGAATGTTCCACCTCGTCATAGCAAGAGATGGAGCTGGCAGCTGAAGGAAAAGAGACAGGATGTTAAGGTTCTCCGGATCTTCTGTTAATCTGGAGTGAAGGCCTTAACGAGGCACTCACGCTAACCACTGAAACCACGGAAGTAACATGCTGCAGACAATTTCACATTCGACTCAAAACCTTGAGAAAACATCTGCATGACCCAACAATCTGAGATGCAAACCAGAAATGATCTCTGAACCTCCAAGTACATAGTGATGGACGGATGGCTAATAAGAAAAGCTAATATTTTGACATACACAATACACAGTTTAAGCAGGTTAAGCACATTTTCTTTTAGGGCTGCATGATTAACAAGAGAGTAATAGTGGCGCTTAATGTGATTATCAAATCGTAAAGGCTGCAATTTAATTAAATATATGAACTGCGTGTTTCAGAGTGAAGCGCGGTACTGTGTTGTTACATCTGATTATGGGCTGGTGTTTGTATTTGTATTAATATAGTTATTGTACAGTTGTAACGTAAAATAAAAATGATTATAATTATATTATTATTTAAATACCCCATTTTTGTTTTACAATGAAATATTACTGATAGTAATATTTACAATAGTATTTTAATAGTAATATCACAACAGTAATGTCTTTAGTTTTTATTTAGTAATTTTTTATAATTTTAGTTAGTTAACAATATTAATATTTTAGTTTAAATTGCTTTTTAAATCACAATCTTTATCAATTGCTTTCCCCTCAAATCATGTAGCTCTATTTTCTTCGCCTTTTTTAATATATCTAGTACAAGTTCTTCATCTATTATATGCTCTAATTTTTGAAAATCTAAATTGCAATCACTTAAAAATGAGAGAACATTTAAACTCTTCCATCCATAGCGGGTTTGCAAGTCACAATCAGACAACTTTGAGGATACTAAAATTAAAAAAATAGCGTGCACAATGCTGTGACCTTCAAATTGGATTCAGTGAACACCATAGTAGGGTTCTATGACTGTGGTATTCTAGGACCATGACAACTGGCTCAAATAACAGAAGTGAATATAATTTGTAAGTATGCATGTTCTAACGACAATACTTTGATACTGATGTTGTTAAAGGGATCACATGTTCATCCTAATCCTTATGTTAAAATATCCCATGGTTCCTAATAAAAGATGCACTACTTGCAACAATTCACACCACAGCATTTGCAGCACAAAGAGCAGCTGCTGGAGCCTCTCACACTGCAGAGGTCCCCATCTACAGCTGTCTGAGACCCTCAGCAGTGACTAAAGAAGCTGAGAAAAATGCAGTACGGTTATCTTTGTCCTCAAGGATAGAGAAAAACAATGGGACGTCAACAAGTGCATGAGGTTGAGGTCCAGTGGTACAGGCTATGACAATGGAGCAGTAGGCCTATGCTGACCTTGCGCTACGGCACAAAAGGCCAGCTGTTGGCTGTCCATCACCTCCATCAATAAACACACTTCAATTATTTGTCACGTTTATTTCCTCTTTACATAGCTAATATGACTGTCTCAATCAATGTTCATATTGAAACGTCTACAATGTGTGCAAAAGAACAACCTGATATCTCACCAAATGTGTGCAGACGCTACTTTGACAAAAAGGTGATTAGTCTTGAGCTGACAGTGGTACTTTAAATAAATGGCATTGAGTAACGTCTTACATAAGAGAATAACTTCTTTTTGTCACTGGTGACCACTTGAACAAACTTTTAAAATCTCTGCCAGTGCATCAAGCTTTAATATTAATTGGATTAATCATGTTAGCTCTTTGCAAAGCTTGTCTTTATGAGAAAAAACAACAATGGAGAGGCTGAGCAAGACAATAAAAATTCTTGTAACATACCATGACAGGTTCACATTTCTCAGATGTCAAGAGGTGTCCTGCTGTACGAGGAAGGGATCTAAAATAGACTACTGTTGTTCTTTTTGACCTGAGACAGCGTCGTAAAAGGAGTTCCTGATTAGGATGGTGTTGATGAATCTTTAAAGCAACATGGGTGTTCTTTTGTCCTTCCTCCTTGAAGCCTATTGTTACATCATACCATATATGTCAAACGCTGGTGAACATCCTATGCCATTCAATCATTTGAAGGTTTATTTAGCTGGACCAGGGTGGGGCATCCACGACGTACCACCATTTTGGGATCAGTGACTCCCTTTAAAAAGGTAGCATTAACTCTGGAGAGACACAACACACAGGACAACCCAAGGTAAGAGCAAAGACCAAGGAACATCTCCTGGACCTCCCAAACACTGCTTCCAGAGCTGACACAAAAAGATATATCCATTACAAGTTTAGTTTAAGTTAATGATCAGAATAACATCTTTGTTCTCAAACACTAACGAGTCTTTTATTTCGTCCTTAGAGTAACACCAACTCTGCAGTTACAGGTTACAGAGCTTGACAAACACAAGGTGAGAAGTTTTGCAGCTACCTGAAAAATATATCTGCTGTACTGAAATGCATTTGTGTAACTGTGACGCCAGTTACGTGTTGTCAGTGATTCTGTGCAGTTTTGTCAAAGGAGGACATTATATTTATAAG